ATAACCCGAAGGAGCCGTTGCAATGTGCGAAAGTTGACGCGGCCGAGCGCTCGAGGGGTCGACATATCCAATCGCAGTCTCGCTATATGCCAGTGCTCATGCATGGCGGTGACTCAGGTGCATGAACCGCATCTGCCCCGTTGCGACGTTGATTGCTCGCGTGATCTACACAGGCAGGCCCACATAAGCAACAACGATGACACGACCCGGAGGCTTGCCCTAGCTTGGCAATGGTATTCCGATTTGTCCCCGCGCACAATCGCATGTTGCGGTAGGCCTGCTATGCCGCATACCGTCCACTGGAAGAGGCCCAAACGAGAGCGCGTTGCAGTCAAGGTTGCATGAAATTGATGCAAGGGACGGAACCAGCACCGTAGGGCAGGTCCAGGGGCAGAAGCGGTAATCCGGCGCGTCCTCGTGCACTTGAAAGAGAGGGTAGCAAATGAAAGCAGCGTAGGAAGAAACGAACTCGACGCGCGGGCACCGCCCAGCGGAGAACACATGGCGCTGCACACCTGGCACGTACAGGGGCTCAAGGGCAACGCGTTGCCAGGTGCGAGGGCGCCGCAGTGAGGCGAGGCTCAACGTCAGCAACGACGGAGCAAGTGGTATCGCACCCTGGTCGAGTACAGGAGCTGACCAGCGGCCTGCGCCAGGGGGGCCCATGGAAGGCCGCCCTGGCCGGAGCGCAGCCGCAACGCGCAACGCGCGTAGCATGCGAGCGGGTCCTCGGAGAGGCCGCCCACGAAACGCTGGAACGAGATGCCGCCCCCAAGACGGCACAAGATGCCCCAAACCGGCTCCAAGAGGGCTCCAAGACGGTCCCAGATGGCCGCCAAGACTGCCAATATTTGCCCGACATCGCCTACAATATGCATCCAAGACCGCCAAGATGGCACCAATAGAGTTCAATATGGCCCCAAGACGACCCAATATTGCCCCAAGATGGCCGAAGACTGTCCAAGAGGCCCCCAAGAGACCTCCAACGCGGCCCAATATCGCAATTTTTGTACTTGGCCATTATATTGTGTCTGCGCACTTCTTGGATATTCTGTATCATTGTGATGTTTTTTTTTTTTGTGATGGCATAGTATTTGCATTTTGTTTGCTTCATCGCCGCATGGCTTCCTCCTTTTTGTGTTGGGGGTTCCTGCTCGCCGATCGTTGCTCAGATTTTCCTGTGCGTTTTCCAAACGGCTGTCGTCTGTGAGTTGTCTATCGTATTTCTTTTGTTGCCTCGAAAAAAACGTTTCGTTTGGATGTTGTCTTACGTGTTCTTTTTTCATGTTTCTCATGTATGTCCTGCCTTTTGCGCTGGTGCTGTTCTTTCTTCGCGTTCTGGATGTATTGTTATTTTGTAGTTGTCCTTCTGTGTTTCTGTCTGGTTCGCACCTCTTTCTTTTTCGCCTGCCCTGGCTGTGGGTTGGGTCGGGCACGGGCCTGCGAAACTGACAGTGTCGGGCGGAGGGGCGGGGGGGGGACTTGACCGCCGCCGTAGCCATTTTGGCCCAAGCGCGCTCCGCGCGCCCCCCGTGTCTCGGGTTTGGCGGGCCTCCTGGGCCGCGGGAGCAAGGCAGCAAGCGCTAGGGGTGTCTTTCCATGGGTGGGCCATTCCGCGATGCGGCGCATGGAGCACTGGCGGCTGGGCGGCAGCTGGAGCTGGACGCGCGCCCGCCCTCGGCAACTGGCAGTGCGCAGAGGCCGCCGCGGCGCGCGTCAAGTAAACGGCCCCGGAGGCGCAAGGGGCCGCCCCGGCTTGGAGGCAGCCCCTGAGCAAAACGCCCGCAACGCTCGGAGTCTGCACGCATTTGGTCGAAGCGCAGGGCGGGCTCCTCGGGCGTCTCGGGCACTGGACATGCCCGCTGCCCGCGGGCTGGCCGCCGCGCGCGCCGCACGGGCCCGCCAGGGGCACTTCCGGCCCCGCGGCAAGCGTATCACTGGAGGAGCGACGCGGCCGACCAGACGCTGGGGCAAGGCCAACCGCCGCCAGCGGCTGGACCGCCCGCCAGGAGGAAGCGCTTCCCGCGACCGCCCGCGGCATCGCGGCCAACTGTCGAATGTGGCCGGCGCGCGCGCGCCGGCCCGGGCAGGTGCCGCCCGCTGCGACAGGCGCGCCCCAAAGCCATTCGCTGGGCGGACGTCAGGAACCAGGGGATTGCGAGAGCCGTGGCGCTTTGGAAAGAGATCCGCGAGCAGGAAAAGGGTCGTGCTTACCGCTTGCTGGAGAAGCTTGGAGAGCGGGGTGGCCGCGCGCACCTGGACACCATGCTCAGAAGGTGGTCCCACAGAACACTCGCGATACACGCGCGCAACGCAGGCAAGTTCTTGAACTGTGCCAAGGAACAGAGCAGCCACGCCGCCGAAGCCCCTCAGGAAGCCGCAGTGCTCAAACTGGCGGGCTGCATGCAGCACTTGCGCGAGGCAGGAGCCGGCCCGACGGTGCCGCGGGCACGGCTGGCTTCTATTGCGTTTTACTCCGTCGTTGCTGACCTAGAGACGGCGTGCCCAGTGGACCACATCATGGTGACAACCGCGGTGGCAGCGCGGCGCGACAACCAGTCCAAGAAGCGGGAATCCAGCAAGACCGACACCGTTGGCGAGGTGCGGCAGATAGGCGGCCATCAATGCCAGCGAGGATCTCCTTGTCCGGATAACGCTCTCCAACGAGCTGCGGAAGCTGTTCGGAGGCCTCAGGAACGACGACCCCATTTGGGATCAGCCAGCTCGCTGGACGACGGCTGGGAGCTTCCCTGCGGGGGGCTTCCCATACGGAGCGTGCGACAAGACAAAAGCGACCGAGGCAACGACCTGTCGCATAGAATCGCCCATGCCCTGGGCAGTGCCCGCCAGAGGAATGTCCGCGATCCCGCCGGAGCGGGCCAAAGAACGCCGCGACGACTTGCAGGAGCTTGGGCTCATGGGCGCCGAATACGCCGTGCCGTCACCCTGGGGGGCGCGCACCAGAGAGTCACCGCCGGGAGTGGCGACCGCAGACGAGTGGCTCACGCAGATCTGCTACGCCCTGCGCGCGGCTGGACTGGAGCGCGAGACGGCGGCGACCCTGACGCTACACATTGCGAAAAGGACGCTGCTTACGTGGGCGAGCACCAACGGCCGCTTCGGCGAGCCAGAACTCGCAGGGGTCGCGAAGCTCGCCCGGGCCCACAACACTTCAGAAGTGTCCGTACCTGTTCAGAAGCTCTCGCAGCTCCTCGAACAGATCGCGGAGGACCGGTTCCTGCCACTGGATTCTACGAAGCGCAAATTCCTCGATCAGCTCGATCTCCCTGATAGCCTCCTTGAGGTCGTCGCGGATTGGGTCGAACATGACCTCCGCGAATTTGTCGAACTCCTTCCTGTGGTTCCTCAGGCCGTCGAGTTTCTGTAATTTCTGCGTGTCCCTCTTCGTGCCATCGAGGAGACATGTGAGCCTCAGCGTTCCATCGTAAGCCTGTAGGCGGTCCTTCTGAGCGCGCGTTTCCCCATCGTCTCCAAGGCTCTGGAACTGCTGGTGCGCCGGGCCGACGCATGTGAGGTCGTAGAAGAAAGCCGAAACCAAAAGAAACTCATTCCTCAACGGCTCTTGGCCCTCGATCTCGCTATGCACGGTGCCGATGGCGTTGGAGAAGATGCCGAACAGTGAGCTCGGTATATTATTGGCAGTGGGGATTGCATTGACCACCCAGAATGTCCAGTCAGCCAGCGCTCTTCTGAACAAAAACTTCCTGGAATCCCAAGTGCACGGCGCACCATCGAGGCGCTTGATGCGGCCTGTGATGCCCTGCGCTTTTTGCTCCGAGAACGCACCGCCCACGGGGAAAGACTGAGTGATAGCACGAGCAATTCTCCTAAGCGAAGTGCTGTTCTGATCGACGTCGGTGGCAAAAGAATTGATCGCGGCAAGCTGCGCCTGAAATTGCAATGCATCTGGGAATGCTTTGATGCCCGCCTCGAGGCATCAGGTACGCCTCTGAACAATGGCGCGGTCGCAGCGGTTATAACAAACTTCGAGAAGGCTCTTCTTGAACATCTGCTCAATGGGCGCCAGGACCTGCCCAGTGGGGTGGGCCTCTTCAAAAATGGAGCGCCACTAGTGCAAGTCCTGCGCAACGATGCTGAAGCTCTCCCAGGGCGCTGTGGCGATAGCGACAGACTGTGTTTGGACCTTCGCCGAAAAGAACTCGCTGAGGGCCTTCGCGTGGGGCTGGATGCTCACGAGCACCGCCTGCGTGTTCGCGCGCATCTCTACAGCAGTCTTCAAGAGCTGCCCCCAGTGTTCACACATCTCCAGCGAAGAATATATGGCGGAAGCGATACCACAAGACTGCTCCTTGAAGGTCATGTAAGCCTGAAGCTGGTCGAACTCGCAAACCCGGACCTGGTAGTTACCAATCGCCACTTGATGCGCCAGCTCGTCCAGGAAGAGCACCTGTCTGAGAGTCAAAAGGAGCTCCAGCCCAACGCTCCTGAACTGCATGGGGATTATGTCCAGCTTGAATTCTGAACTTAAAAACTCAACCACCAACTTGGCGAAGCCCACTGTGGAGTTCTTGAACGCAACATCCTTCAAATCATGTTGCGCACAAGGGTGTTAACCAGGATCTGGACGTGCATTGCAATTCTCGCCCCCGAGATGGGGTTGGGGACATCTGCGATCCTGGGGTTGCAGGGATCGAAATCACTCAGGTGCTCCAGTGGTGCAGCTAGGCGATAGATGTCGCCGCGCGGGCGCAGGTCTCCAGAAAAGTCCCCAACTGGATAAGCCATTCCATCACATATGTCCACCACTGGCGACCAAGGCTTGCGAAAATCTCAAAATTCCTTGACCATCTCCCGTGATGAAGAACTGGCGCCAATCCCAACATATTGCGGGAAGAAGCTGCTGACTTCCGAACGACGAGGTTGCACATGTATTCGTGATCAAACTGCGAAATCCCACGACGCATGTCGACAATCGGCTGCAACCCCTTCTTAAATTGATCATGTGTGACGTGGCCAGCCTTGATCTTCTGCTGCGTCACCATCTGGGCGAGTGCTACCTTTGCCATATGCGCCAGGGCTGCACGCGGCGCTGCAAACTCTGCCTTGCCTTCAGATTCCATCAAGTCGAGCAAGTTAGTGGCCCCCACTGAGCAGTACTTCAACAACTTCGGGACCTTGGCACTGATGTGCCGAAACAAATCAATTTCAGAAATCCAATAATAGCACTTGCTCGGGATATACATTGAAATCACTTCGGCACTGTACTGAATCCCATCACCGCCTCCATCGCTCCCAGTGCCATCGTCCGAATCTGAAGATGTCTGAATCGAGCTCGCGATTCCAATAATCAATCCTGAGGAAACTGCTGGCGAATCGTGCTGAGCGAGTGCCCCAACTGTACCAGATGCCGTGGCCAGTACTGGAGGCATACGATTTGTTGGTGACAGCGTGGTTGGTCCACAACATGGCGCATTATTATAGGCCCCCGGGCCCGAGCTGAATCTTCCACGCTTCTGTGTAGCCAGCGCTGGATACTGCACTGAAGCATCTGGGGTGCTACACTTCTGTGGCATGAGTGCAAGTCTCTTCTCCGCCTCCTCGAGTTTGTGCCCAAGCCCCACCGCAGCGCTCAATAAAGGAATGTTCAGGCTCTGCGACTGCTTCGGCATTTGAATATACCCACGGCCAGCGCGCTCGAAATCAGCGCTCCCTCGGCCGATGATCTCAGAGCCAGGCAGCTGCAACAACTTCGTCTCCTGCGCTTTCCTCGAGCTCCATAATATACGCTCTCTGCGATACCCATCATATATCTGATCATGGAGATCATCCAACATGCAATAATATTTGCGATGTCCGCCATGCTCGTCGAGACCCCAAGTCACGAACGGCTCCATTGCCTTCGATACTTTTCAAGCAAATTCGCCCTCCCAGCCAAAAGGCCAGAAGCATTGATCTCTGGTAACTTGATTATGTCTAGTTCGCGCGCGCGAGGCAATCCCATCAATGGCCTGGGGCAAAAAATCCGCCGAACCTTCCCCCGCGTGGGAAACGCTATCGTCCGCGTCGTTGCTGTCGCCATTCTCCTCCAACCAACGCGAAAGCGAACCGCGTCGCCACTGCTTGAAGGCTAAGCCCTTCCCTTCCGCAAAGCACGGCTGGGGGGCGCCCTGGGGGTGGGGTCCGAGGGGGGGCCCGGTCAGATACGACGCCCATATCTTTAATGAATTTCCAAAAGAAAAACTCACCCCCCCTCTCTCCTGCTCCTCGTGCTCCTCCTCGACTTGCTCCTCCCCCTCCACCTTCTCCTCCCCCTTATCCTCCTCCTCCTCCTCCTCCTCCTCCGTCCTCTCTTCCCCCTCCTTCCCCTCCCCCTTTTCCTCTTGCGCCCCCTCCTCCGCCCCCGCTGCCCTTCCCCTGGCGGGAGAGGAGATCCCAAGCAGGGGTGGGCTTGGGGGAGGGTGGCCCAAGTCAAAATATGCCATCGCAGGGCTGTTTACATCATGTTCTTGCTAGGGCACCCATTCCCCCCTCCCCCTGGAGCTTCCTTGAATCATCCTCCTGCTGCTACTGCCCCTGCTCCTCCTCCTGCCGCTCCTCCTCCTCCTCCTCCTCCTCCTCCTCCTCTTCCTCCTCCTCCTCCTCCCCCCCCTCGTCCCCTCCATCTCTTCCCCTCATTCTTTCGTCCTCCTCCTCCTCCTCCTCCTCCTCCTCAACTTTCGCCCTCCTCCCCCTAGCTCCCCCCCCTCCCCTTCTTCTCTCCCCCTCCTCCTCCTCCTCCTCCCTTCCCCCTCCTCCTCCTCCTCGCCCTCCTTCTCGTGCTCCTCCTCCTCTTCCTCCTTCCTCTCCCTCATTCTCCTCTCCTCCTTTTCCTCCTCTTCCTCCTCCTCCTCTTCCTCCCCATCAACCCGCGCCCCAGCACCGACCTCTCCTCGTCTGTCGCCCTCGAAGGCCAGGGCTAGCAAAGTCGGCGGCACTGGCCATAAGGCCTTAGCAATACCTGGCCGCAACCCGGGAGACCCCCCCTAGAGCGCCCCAGGGAATCTAACTTGCACTTCTCGCCGGGCCTCCGAACGGGAAGCCGCAATCGACCACCTCCACTCCCGCCGCCCCAGGGGGTTCCAAGAGAGCCTCACTCACAAGAGGTAATTTGCCAAGGCACCTGTGGCGCTTCCAAAAGGTTCCCAAGAGGCCCCGCTCCAGGGCTGGCGGAATGAGCAGAGCGATTAACTAAGTTAGCTTCGCGAGGCCTTTAAGCTGCCCTTCGGTGACCAGCATGTGGGCCAGTGTGGCGACATCCCCCTCGTCATCGCCACTGCCAGCCTTGGGCTCCAGAAGCCCTGACCGCGAGCTGATGATGCTCGGGCTCTGCTCGCGCGCTGCCTGTCTCGGATAAGAAAGAAACCCACCTCTTCTTGCTGAAGCAGCTGGGGCACAGCAGCGACGAACCCTACGAATGGGTTTTCCTTGCTAAGGCATCCTCACTCCTGACTCAACTCAACTCGGCCCCTTATTAAGACCCTGGGCTCTCGCAGGTCGGCATGGGTCTTTCCGGAAGAAATCGCGGGCATTTTCGAATCCGAGTCCTGCTGAGGCGAAGCGCAGATCCTGCAGAAAGCCATGGCCGCGATGCGAGGACCATTGACATAGGTTCTCCCCACGCACGAGAACCTGCATTATGCATTTGAGCGAGATGGTTAATGGGAGGGAAACGTTTACCTCCCCCCCCCCCTACACGCGCAGCGTTGAATAAATTAGACTCACAAGTTCGCGCGCGCAACGCAACGCCTGCTCGCACGCGTTCAAATGAATATTGTACGTCGCTGTGCCGCTGCACGTACACCAGAATGCGAATTCGTTTTCAACAAATAATGATGTCCCTGGTACGCCGGCGCAGGTGTTTTACAGCAAACAAGACGTTGCAAATGCAACGTGCAGGTAAGCAAGGGCAAGGGCAGATGCCTTTTCGGGCCTGTGCAGCCTCCTGTGGGCCTTAATAAGGCCTGCAAGGGTTTTCGCTCGAGGTGCCTTCTTCCTGGGCGTTACGTGTTTGCTGATTTTTGCGAGCAAGGGCGCTGTTCAGTCAGCACGTTGCGCGAAGCACGACGCCTCTACTGCGCGCGTCGGAGGTTCGTTTTCCAGGCCTGGCCATGGCCCGACGACCTCCACAAAGCTGGCCTGCCCCCACTCACCCCCTCGGCGGCGGGGGAAGGGGTTCAAATTCTGTGCGTGCGGTTTGTGTATTTTGTGTCTGTGTGTGTGTGTGTTTGTGTGTGTGTGTGTGTCTGTGTGTGTTTTTGCGTGTGTGTGTGTGTGCTTGAATATGTGTGTTTGAATGTGTGTGTGTGTGTGTGCGTGTGTGTGTGGTGCGTGTGTGTGTGTGTGTGTGTGTGTGTGTGTGTGTGTTTGAGGGAGGTGGGCGCCCTACTTTCGCAGCGCAGCCAAACCGTGCCGATAAGACCTCGAGCGCGGCGCGTGTTTACGGCATCCTGCAGCCGCCTCTGCGCCTGAATGTCCTCGGCGCTGGCTCGAACGAGGAGCGCGCGGACGCTAGGCACCGAATTCGGGGCGAGGCGGGGGTGATTGGAGGAGCGTGGGGAGGCAACATGCATCACAAGAAAAAATGGCGAGCCCGTAGGCGTGATGGGCGATGTGCCCTACTTTCGCAACGCGGCCACATCGCGCCAAAACCACGATGGGCGCGTTGCGTTCCTCCTCCGCATCCCTTTGCCTTCAGGGTTTCCTCTTGCCTCCCCAAGCATATGCGTCGGTGTTGCACGCGAAGTCGCCGCGACTGCTCCAGCGCGTGCGCGCTGCCAGCAAGACGCGGGCTCGCTCTCCAAATATGGAGAGGCTCCGAGGGGGGCCGCCCCCCCCCCCCCCCCCCCCCCCCCTATTTCTCCCCCCCCTCCTCCCCCTCTTCTTCCTCCTCCCCCTCCCCGCCTACATCGAACAATCAAGCGAGAAGTCGCGGCCGAAGCCAGCGCCGCTTGGCGGCACCTCGCCTGGGTCAGCCCTTTGAGCTCCTTTGGGTCCAGGGCTGTCCGCCTCTTTCCTCCTCCCTCTTCTTCTCCTCCTACCCCCCCCCCTCCTCCTTCCTTCCTACTTTCGCAACGGGGCCAAATCGATGCCAAAACGTGCGAGGGGAGGCAATGGCGGCGGCGGCGGCCTGTGGCGCGTTCGCCTTGCGGCTCGCGCACGCACTCCTCGCACATGCGAAAAACGGTACTGTGAGAGCCCTCGATGGAGCAAACATGTCGGTCGAACGCGCCCGTGGCCCCGCGCTCAGAATCGCTCGGAAAGGCAGCGAAGACTCCCAGAGGAGCAAGAGGAGGACGAGAAGGATGAGAGGAGCATGGTGAGAGGAGGAGGAGGAGTGACGAGGAGCAGGAGGATGAGGAGGAGGAGGAGGAGGAGGAGGAGGAGGAGGAGGAGAGGAGGCGAAAGAGGAGGAGGAGAGGAAGAGGAGGAGGAGGAAAGGAGGAGGGTGGAGGAGGAGGAGGAGCACCAGGAGGACGGGCCGCCTATGCCCGTCGGATATACCCTCCAACACGCTGCGACATGGCTTGGAGCAGACTGGCTTGAGCGAAAAGCGGCCGAGGATTCGGGCCCGCCGGGGGCCCAATCGCTGTTTCATCTGCGCGGAATTTGCCAACATTGCAGTTTCGTCTGTTTATTCTGCGCTGAATTTGCCGAAATTGCAATTTCGTTTGTGCGGGATTTACCAGAATTGATGTTTCGTGAAGGGCGGACGTTACGATCGAGGGGTATTCGAAAGTTCGGGAAGTGGCTTTTCGACCCAGATCTTCGGTTCGGAAAGCGGAGGGGATGGCGACGACGACAACGACAGATGGACACCCGCCTGCATTTGACATTCGGAAGGAGGCGGGCCAAAGCAGGGGGCGGGCTGCCTTGCTATCGACCTGGACGCTGGTTTGCTCCTCGTTGTCGTTCGTGGCGCTGGCGGGCCGCCTGGCCGATGAGAAGGTGGCGGGCAGGGCCCAAGAGGTTCGGATGAGGTGAGAGGTGAGAGAGGCGAGGAGCGGGAACCGCAGATCCGACTCAGTCGCTACCTGAGGGCTCTCTTCTCGTCTCACTCTGTCTCTCGCCAGCGCAACGAGGCCCCCGCCGAAAGGCAACGCCGAACCTCGCTCCGAAGGGCCCGACCAAAGAGCCT